TCGAAACAACCCTGGTACTGCTCAGACTAGGTGAAAGAAAATATTGTTATGTGTTGTTTGTTTACCAGTTTGTGTGCTTGAACCATACGGAGAATGTACCAATGCATGGAAAAGATTAATAAATAGAGATCATACAAAACCAGAGCTCTCTGCTGAAGACTGGTTTAATTGCCCACGTGTTCAGACCGAAAACAAGGAATTGAGTTGTAATTAACAAAAGCTCCGAGGCATGGCTCCACCTATTTYATTATGTCATCAGTGAGGGATCCCTACACTGCTTCAAGCCATGACCCCAGACATCATAATCTAGCCTAATGAAGATTTAAAAGTTCAATTATTGTGTTGAATTTGTTTTCAGTGGCTTTCAAACCCCAAAACATGTTACYACAAAGATTAGTTCACCCCAACAATCCAGTTCCCCAGCAAAAACAGAGTAATATAGTATATGCTGTTAAGTGTCAGGAGGACAGTGATCAGTCATACATTGGTGAAACAAAACAGCCACTGTTCAAAAGAATGAGCCAGCACAGATGAGCTACGACATCGGGTCAGGACTCTGCAGTTTACACTCCTCTACAGGCCAGTGATCACTCTTTCAGGGATGAAGATGTTCTRATCCTTGATAGAGAGGAATGTTGGTTTGAGAGAGGAGTAAAGGAAGCCATCTTTGTGAAGAAAAACCGTCCACCATTAAACAGAGGTGGAGGCCTTTGTGTCCAGTTGTCCTCCTNGCTGGATACGAACAGGTGGAATTTACGCAGCTCATTTACACACTTTTCCTGAAGATAGAAGAGTTTGTTGAATCTGACGTGACGTTCGTACGGACCCTTCGTACGAACAAAAGTAAGAGAAATTTAGGATAAGAATATGAACATGTTCTTGCATGAGGCCCATTGTGTTTTGGTGTATGTGAGTGTGACATTGGTCTACTGCTAGCAAAATATTTTGTGTACTTCTGGAAAGACTTTTGTGAAACTGTCATCCTAATCATTGGATGTACATCTAAAACTGATTCACTTTTGGAGTCAACCAGATTCAAGATGGGTGCCAAGGCTGAGCTAATGAGCTACATTCGGTGTGGTAGTAGTTGAGAGTCATCTCCAAAACAATCTCAAAGWGCTAACAAGCTGCCTAGACTTTTGTTTAAAATGTTGCCTACTAGATTGAAAAATGCTACGTCTTACATAAATTATTTTTTAATTCGTAATTTAGTTTCTACATTGACTAAATTCAGCCAAATTAAATTCCATGCAGTGGATTCCTCTTTGAATCAGAAAGAGGTGTTTTGTAGGAAGCTTCTTAATCAGATAAATCTCTGCTGAACATGAAACAAGAATAAGTTTGTCTTTTATTTGTTCCTGAATTAAAATGGAAAATTAGAGTCATTTTATATAAATACTTGAGGATGTGGGTTGAAAGAAAGAAAGAAGATTTTGACATGGGTCAAACAACACTTGGTTAAAATAAGATTATGCATCTTAGTGGAATCTTAAGCATTTGATTAAAAAATAATAATAAATGAATGTGTGCATGTATCTGGACAGTAACAAAAATGTTGGTCTCTGCAAGTCATTTCAAATTTACACAAAGACATCTGTGCTGAAAAAYAAATGAACCAGCAACACGAAAAAAATAAAATAAAATAAGCACACATTCCTCAATTATGACCTCAAAACCCACTTGTCCTCCATTGTTCGCATTTCCTATGACATGCTAACTAATCCCATTAAAGTAATCCACACGAAGACAACTTAGGGCATGATAACTGCTGGCACCGCCTCTACTGTTCGTTTATGATGTATTTTGATGAGCAGAAAATTGAAATAATTAATGTGACTGTCATTAATTCTCCTTGTGGCAGACGCACAGAAGGGATACCTGCAGGAAGTTTATTTTTATCTGGTCTCACTGCACGCTTCTCAATTTAAAGGACAGTTCATTCATTTCGAAGTGGAGTTCTGTGGGAAAGGTATAATTATTACCTGATGTAAAGAATGCTTAAGATACTGTTAACGTCAAAACAAGACTGATGTGCCAACATTTAGTCAGAATGAAGCTAAGTCCAAAGAAGACTGATGCCATCCAAAAACAAATCCAAAATCCAAAATTGCATGGCGGTTCCTGCAAACAGTTTTGTAAAAACTTTTCCTACGCCATCAGTTTTGCATTTCAGAGTATTTCACGTGATTATTTGCACATGCAAAGAGAATTGTAGCTTTCGTAACAACCTTAAGCTTCATAAATCCAAAGCTGTTCAAATGTTACTGTTGAAAATGTTCTATTGCCATTAATTGCCAGCGAGCTGCTGCTGTTGCTATTTGTGCTTGCAAATAACCAAATAATCCTTTGTAAATACTCTCAAAAGTGGCAGAGGTGTATAAAACATCTTCGGATGAACTGCAGGAAAAGGACAGCTGTGGCTACAATGTAGCTTACCACATCAGTGTGTGAATGTGTGTGAATGGGCAAATGATTGAAGTGTAAAGCCTTGTGGAGTCCAAAGGGACTTCCAGATATTTACCTTTTTACCGTTTGCAGTGCAAAAACACCTCAAGGGTGATCAACAACAGGAAATAAATTAATGACAACTCTTCTATAAGAACCCACTTCAAAATTGCTGAATAATCCCATTTATGTACTCACATACAACAATGTGTTTTTTATTTAGGCGCACACACACACACACACACACACACACACACACACACACACACACAATCACATCAAGTGTCAGAGAGAGGAGCTTTGATGGAGGAGGTCAGTCAGTCACGGAACAGCTAAACAACACCTCATTAAGCTTGTTGAAGAGCGTCTCACAGGCTGACCGAGAAATCATTGTCTGCTGGTAAGCTAACAGAGCCCAGGGCAAAGCTTCCAACATCTAAACAACCCTGACAYGACCGGAAAGTAACGATCACGTGTTATTCACAAAGAGGACACGAATAATAAAGTACAGTGGTTTGTGAGCAAAAATGCACCCCAAGCAGCCTCTATATGCCGACGGTGCAGATAAAGACACTGAGCGTGGACAAGTATAGTTACCAAAGGTTGTTTACATCCTTTARATGCATGCATGCACAGTGCAACCCATTCATAATATGGGCTGTATTTTTTACAGAGTGATACAGGCCTGTGGATGCTGCAGCCTCTTGTCCTACGCTATAAAKGTAATCAGCAAAGGCCCAGGAAGCCAGCTCTGTGTAGTGTTTTGATTAGGACTTTAGTCAGTCAATTTTCTTTCCATCACACACACTTTCAGTCATTCTTGTACTCACTGTATTTATCTCTAACTCCATCACGGTATTTCTCTTCTTTTCTCTCACTCCCTCTCTATATTAGACCACCCTCCATRCCCCCCGGCTCTGATGTTAATGCACTCCCAATCAGGCTGTCCATTAAGTGGACGTGCACAACACGCTCATCAGACTGTCCAAAGGCCTGCATGCAAATGAGCTCAAACTGCAGTGTGCTGCAAACTCCTTGAAATCTCCTAAGAGGTAGAATGTGTGTGTATGTGTGTGAGAGACATGCAACTGTGAGAAATGRAGGCAAAAAAAGAGGACAGARTGAAAAGAAAAGAAAAAYGGGAGTGCAAGGCTGTCCATTTAATGCTGATGAAAACCATGAAGATGAGCAGTACAAAGGATTAACCTAATCAGGTTGTCTTCTTGATGTTTTGATGTAATGCTGAGACACTAGAAAGGGGAAATTTACTGATATAAATTCTATCTGTGAAGCATAAGCCTTCAAGGAGAGCTCTGCTCTTGTCAGCCAAAACCCTTTGTCACGAACAYTGCAACTTCTCCCCTCTGAAATCAAACCAAACTTTTGCTGGAACTGCTTAAAGCGAGATGTGCAACAGACAGAGATGACACTTTGATTCTCTTCCCCTCCCTTATGACCGCCAGGCATTTCACATGACTCCATATTAGGTATTACATTCAGTGAGAGACATTCATTTTCACCTTAGTTTTTGCTATCTTTAAGTTWAAAAAAAACTGTGAGTTAGAATGTGAGATCTCTCACAGCGTTTAAGGTGAAAATCGAGATTTTTGTCATAGGGTTGCAGACAAAAAGGGGAGAAAGTCATAGTCAGGCGTGTCTTTATATTCATGAGGCACTGGGTTTGGTGTTAAATGCACAGAGCTGGGGTGAATGTCAGCGAGGCCTGCATCATGCTAACTCTTAAGTGACTGTGGCACTCAAAGATAATGAAGAAGGAGGAGYAGGCCAAATAGGGCATGCACTGGGGCCATGAGCAAAGCTAAAAAGACCAACAACCAAACCATCAGGTTGAGTWTGTGGTGACAAAGTTTTACCACCAGCACTGATTGCATGTGTGATGACCCATAACCTCTGTATGCAGTTTGTGGTCATTTGTTTCTCCACTTTCTCTCTTTCTCTGCAGGAGGCAAGACCTCAATTAAGAGTTTTACCTGCAATCACTTGTGCCTGACCAGAATAAAGATGACTGGGAAGGCAGGGTGCTGTTTGGCTGAGTTGGGAGGTGGTTGATGGTTTCCTTGCTGTCATGTTGGTTGTTTTGATTTTCCCTTTATAAATTGAGAGWCTGGTGTGTTTCTGGTTAAACCTAATGTTGGTTTTCCTTTTATCCTTAAGTTACAGGTAGCTGTGTTCTCTCCTCGGGAGGACCTGGTTCTGATTTTGTGGATGACTGATGTAAGGGCAGCTAAATTAAACTCATCTTGTTCTGATTATGCGTGTTGTCTCCCTGTTTGTTGGGTGGCAGTCGGGTCATGACACGTCAGAATGTCAAATCTTTTGCTTAGATTCAGGTGTGCAGTAGTTATTTTCATGTTCTCTAAATCTGTGTTCATTCTCAAACCTTTGGTTATTAATGCACGGCTCCATAAAAGAACACCAATCATGAAATTGCATGTGCCTCACATTGGGCCTCATGCAAGAACCGTTCGTCCGCACAGATTTGTTCTTAAGTTGTGCGTACGAGTGATTT